GAGGTTGTGTTTCGTGGGTGTGGTCTGTAAGGGGAGGGGGGCTGTCTGTAAGGGAGGGAGGAGCCGCAAAACCTCGAACTTAAAACTTGCACTCACTATTTTCTTGGAAAATATATGTGAGTTCCACAAAATAAGCATAATGTTTAAAATTTATCAAGCATTCGAACTTTGTAAACAGTTCATTAAGCATATGCTAGCTGTCGGCAAAATCGATTGTGACTTGATAGCGAAAACGTCAACCAAAAGCAAGAATCAGAAATAGTTTTCCTTTCTCGTAAATCTCCTTCTTTAATTAAAATGAGATGTTTTGAGCCTTTTTGCACATTCTCAAGTACAAATATAGACAACTTTTTAGCATTAATTTTCAAAAATATCGTTAAGCAACAAATTTTTCTTAGAAATTCATACCGGTGAAATTTCGGTTTCATCCGGCCCGGTTGGCTTTTTCAACCGGTCCGGTCCGGCCGGACCGGTACGGGTTCCAGCTCTGCTTCTCAATAGTCGTATTACCCTTATTTCTTGGAAATCTCGCGACACTCTAACAACAGTATCAAGTAAAAATACAGACGATTACAAACGATGATAAGACATAAAATTAACGTAAGAGAAGTTAGCAGTCGATTCAAATTTTTTCTACAAATGATCCGCTCTACGACTTGAGTCTGCAGTGAACTAGATGCAGTTCAGGGAGTCCCAATCGAATGGTGTGTTCAGGGTTTTTTTTGTATGAAAGCTCACCGAGACAAGTGAAAGCAAAAACATTGATTTTCTACTATGGAGTAAAAAGTTTTAATCTGGCTATTTACTACCACAATTTGAATTACAAATGAAATTTAGCTTATGCAGTTTGACGAGCTGCATGTAGCTCCCTACATGATTCAGTTGGTTCAATTGACTGTTAATTTTCCTGATATATTAAAATTAAAGAAATCAATTTTATGTTTTTGTGAGATATTTTTTATTAAAGACGAAGGGAAGCTTGAAATATAGTTTCGAATACAATATATTTTTGTTATACAAAATTTTACATATTTAATAATATATTGTTAAATTACATGTTTGTTGACAAGATTTTTTAAATAATTATTAATATTCAATTTTGTTACAGTTGATAGAAAAGAAAAAACAATCATTCGATTTTGACTATATTGAAACAACAAAGACAAGTTGCTCATAAACGCCATCTATCTCATCTTTCTAAATTTGATTTGATTGAAAATACATTGATGTTAACGCTCTATCTGTTCATTCTTTCGTTTCTCACTATTCCGCTTATACGATAGTCGTACGGCGGCAAAGCATATTGTCTATGCGTTTCGAAGAAAAAACTACTTTTGTTTTTGTTTTCTAACTCAAAAACCGATATTGATTTGATACAAACTGTAATTTTAGATCGTTTTGAATAGATTCTTTTTCTTAGAATAATGGCTCATCGCTTAAATCAACTGCGAACATCAACGTTGACAACGCGTAATTATTTATTTTCAAATAAAAATTTGATTTATTTTTTATTAATAAATATATTTAAAGATGATCAATTTTCATCGCTATCATCTACTGTTACGTCATCTCCACGTACGCCAGGAAAAAAATTAACTAAAGGTGATCCTATTGTTACTGGTATTCGACTACGTCCAATTCTCGAACGGTTTATTATTCATTTTTATTTTAATATAAAATTTATTTGTTTTTATTTTTCATACAGAGAATCTGCTATTGACGATACACCAGCTGTACAAATCTTTGAAAATAATGTTATTTGTACACAAAATAGTCGACCACAAATATTTAAATTTACACATTGTTTCGATGCTGCAGCAAAAAATGTAAATACAAAATAAATTAAAAATTTCTTTTTTGAGCAGTGCTTTATGCAGTTTTAAAAGGACCATTTTAAAGTTCGACAGTGACTAATTCGATTTTCAAGGAGGCACTGCTCCAACGCTACATAAAACTTTTTTTTTTTTAAATATTTGTATTTTTTATTATTTAGAAAAATGTGTATGATGGAATGATTCGATCAGCTGTTCTTGCTTCTTTACAAGGTATTCAAGAAGATACTTTTTTTTAATTCCATAAAGAAATTTTGTTTCGTCACTTTAGGATATAATACAACTGTTTTAGCTTATGGTCAAACAGCATCAGGTAATTTGATTAAAATAAAAAATAATTCTTTAAGCTTTTTTTTTTTTTGGTTTTCTTTTCAAAGGCAAATCACATTCCATATTTGGTTCGTCATGTGAAGAAGGTATATTATCATTAAGTATTCATGATTTAATAACAATGAATGGAAATAATCATTTAAAATTTGAATTAAGTTTTCTTGAAATTTATAATGAAAAAGTAACAGATTTACTTGCAATACCAACAACATCAAATGAACATTCAAATCAAAAATCATCAACTAAATCTTCAACAACATTATCATTTTCTAAACATGCACGTACACATATTTTAAATAAACTCGTACCAAGTTCAAATACAGCAAATAATTCAACGCGTGCACTTGAAATTCGTGAACATCCATTACTTGGTCCATATGTTCCAGATTTAAAATATATTCAAGTTAAAAGTAAAGAAGATTTTCAAAATGTTTTAAATTTGGGTAATCAACAACGTTCAGTTGCATCAACAAATGCTAATCAACGATCATCAAGATCACATGCTATATTTACAGTTAAAATAAGTCGTATTGATATACCACAATCCACTAATATGCGTTTATCATTTGGATTAAATACAGCTCATTCTTTATCAAATATTGGTAAACATTCAACATTGTCTAATTCATCAAAGAAAAGTGCAAAGCAACAAGCACAAGATGAATTAGATGCACAAGCTGTACGATTAAATTTTGTTGATTTAGCTGGAAGTGAAAAATCACAACAATATAATGGAACTCAGGGAAAAAATGATCGATTTGCGGTATGAATGAAAAAAAAAACACGAAGGTTCTTGATACTGTTTAGTCTTATAGAGACGAGGTGATTGTAGTTTCTGATGGTAATGTTACCATTCGTAACAATTAGCGCTTATTCTTTTATTATTATTGATTAGCTTTATTTTTCACCAGTTATTGATGAAGATAGAAAACGAATTGAAAATACAAAATTAGAAGGCACAAAGGCTAACAGCGTGATACAAATCTCATCCATAAACTGGATTCATTGTTTATGAGATTATAAAACTTTTGAATTAGACGAAAAAAATAAATTTAACGAGAAAACATGTTTCGATATGGTACTAAGTAGAATGAATGACGAGGGAAGTACCTCAACTGTCAAATCGCTTTCGAGTCGGGAGTATGTGCGTAATATAGGCCCTAATGAGCTATGAATACCCTGAAAAGGATTCGTGCTGCTAGCTTATTACTGCCGCGATATTGCATTTTTACGGTATTTTTAAATAAAAAGCCGTAGTGCCCCTCAGGAACACGAGGAAAACTGATTTTCGAAGGTCGACTCGAACCCCTGCACGGCCTCAGGCCCCACNAGCAATATAACAGGACACTTTTACGATAGCTATGTCTTAGCATAGGAATCACTAAAGGATCTGAAACTTTCACAGTAAACTATTCTCATTGAGGCCTATTTATATGCAAAGTTTCGAGTCGAAATTCGAAAATCAGTTTTCCTCGTGTTCCTGAGGAGCACTACGGCTTTCTATTTAAAAATACCGTAAAAATGCAATATCTCGGCAGTAATAAGTTAGCAGCACGAATCCTTTTCAGGGTATTCATAGCTCATTAGGACCTACATTACGCACATACTCCCGACTCGAAAGCGATTTGACAGTTGAGGTACTTCCCTCGTGAGTTTAATGCACTTTTAATTATATACATCACAATTTGGTTATTAGAAAATAAATCATATTTTGTGCCAATTAAAAATGAATAGATATCGTATCAAAAGTATCCAGGAAATTTATAGTACTTCAGTACACGAGAATTCTTGACTAACTTTTCAGTGATTTTTTAAAAATCTCCAATTCGTTCTGATTTTTCATTACTGAGCAAAATAGAATCTAGATGTCAAGAATATCTTCGATATGATGGAAATTTTGAAAGATAGCAGCAACATTCGATCTCATGAACAGTCATTATTGCTGCTGATACTCATTTTTATTACCATGTAGTCACTAGTCTTGTTTTTTCCATTATCTTGAAAAAAAAACGAATGCTCACTTCAAAATCGTTATTTTATGAAACGAATAGAAAACAAACAGAACTTCGTATTGAAATTTTGAAAAAAGATTGATCAGACAGGAACATGGAACTTTGTAAAAACGTTTAAGCGAAAATCGTACGACTTTGCAATGTTTAGATCATTGTGATACAAAATAGTGATTTTGAATTATTTGTCGAGATACTAAAACAAGCTCGCAACAGGCTTATTGCAACATGATTCACATCGTCATGAGACTATTGTTACCGAGAGCTTCACCAAATAATATGTTGCTTTTGAAATGATACTCAACTCATTAAGTAGGCCTTATTGAGACTAGAGATATCTGAAAAAAGATTTATGACTATGTATTATGGTTATTTTAGTGAGGTGTTCTAATGAAATGTTGTGGCCTCTTTAATATCATCTTCCAAATTGACTTTTGTGTTCAAATTTTCTTGTATCTCATTTCCTGAGACATAAATGTAACAAGAAAGGTTTGTTTTTCGCATCACAGAAGTGTTAATATAGGTTTGTGAAAACAATAGAGACTAGAATGTCTAACACATTTACAATAAACTACTTCCATTGAGAACTATTTGTATACAGTTTGAACTCGAAAGGCACTTTTGAAAAGAATGTGTAGGAGAGCACAGTATCTCGTTGAAAAATTCACTATAATGGCCATAACAGAAGAAGAAAGACACATGAGCATGAATGTTTTTCAATTTTTTCTAATCTGAACATAGTATACATAATAAGATAAGAATTATCTCAGAAACAATTGAACACTAACTTAAAAATATATTTGTGAACGTCCTGACTTTATTTGAATGATAATGATATCGTAAAAAAAGATCTTCTTCATTTTAGGAAAGTGTTCATATCAATCAATCATTATCTACACTTCGTAATGTAATTGATGCATTATCTCGTCAACAAAGTCATATTCCTTATCGTGATTCAAATTTAACTTATTTATTAAAAAATAGTCTTGGTGGTGATGCAAAAACATTTATGTTAGCAACAATTAGTCCATCATCTACTGTTATCGATGAAACTATCAATACATTACGTTATGCTGGTCTTGCTTCGACAATAACGAATGTACCTCGAATAAAAACTCCACATTTACGACATGAAATTGATGAATTACGTGAAGAAAATGCACGTCTTAAACAAGAATTATTTCTTGTTAAATCTAAATCAATGCCATCAATACATCCAACAATAAATAAAATATCTTTACCACGTATTGATGAATGTATACAAACAAGTTTTTATCTTGAATCATCGACATCACAAGAAGAATTAAATAATGATGAAAAACTTGATACCGTTGATGAAGAAGTAAATAATTCAGATACTTTTAATGATCTTGTTTCTTATAATCATTATCTTATAGATTTTAGCTCAAATTGAAAATCAATGTCGTCGACCGAAAAGAAAACGATTGTCTGAACAGCCACTGCATGAAATTGGTTTGTTATTGAATAATTATTTTATATATTTTATATCATTTTATTCTTTAGCGAAAGTACGTAAAATTGATGATACAATGCTTCATCGACGATTAGGAACAATTCTCAGTTATGCTACCGATGACTTTTCAGTAAGTTCAATTAATAATCTTTATTTCTTAATGGATTTTTCGTTTATTGAAGATAATCAATGACAATGGTATTCTTGTTATTTCAAACGAATTGAATATAAATGTTAAAATGGATTCATCATCCTGGACGAAAGCATTAGAAAAGTTTGATCGAAATGTTGATATTAATTCAATGACGAGAAAAGAGGTTAGTTTAAAATACAATCAAACATACAATACTACTCAAAATGATGAGAACAAGATATTCTGGATTTTTTTCCTGTGATGCTAATATCAGTGTTAGAACTTGTCAGGTTCAAAATTTTCGGCCTTGATGAGTTCTAATAAAGGTTTTTTTTGGACCTGAAAACAGTGACGTAGCCAGGATTTTTGTACATGCTGGATTTCAGCTTCAAAACATGGTATCCAGATGAAACTTATGGAGGGTGATATTGGACCCAAATGATGAGTTTTATGAAAAATTTTTTGCGATCGGAGCTTGCGAAAAAAAATCTGTTTTTTTCTTAGCTCCCCCCTAAAAATTTTTTCGCTTTTGGTAGTATTCCATTTTTTAGAGTTTAGTCGTAATTTACATCGAATTTCATCGACAGATTTAAAATTTCATCTCAAAATATGCATCCGTTCAAAAGTTATAACGTTTTGAATTTTTATGAAAATTTTTGCGACATGTTATAAAAATTCAAAATATTTTAATTTTTGAACGCATACATATTTTGAGATGAAATTTTAAATCTGTCGATGAAATTCGATGTAGATTACGACTAAACTCTAAAAAATGGAATACTACCAAAAGCAAAAAAAATTTTAGGGGGGCTAAGAAAAAAAAAGATTTTTTTTCGCAAGCTCCGATCGCAAAAATTTTTCATAAAAACTCATCATTTGGGTCCAATATCACCCTCCATAAGTTTCATCTGGATCCCATGCTCTGAAGCTGAAATCCTGCATGTACAAAAATCCTGGCTACGCCACTGCCTGAACACTACTGTGTTTGGTTTTTTTTTGAAATGCTGTGTGACATAGTACACCAATAAAACGTTGATATAAAGTGCACCTGATAAAGAACTGTTTGGACTATTCAAATTTCAGTTAGATACTCGACACCATAGAAAAAATAAATAAAAAATATCTTGTTCATGTCATTTTGAGTAATACAATATACTAAATAATGTTTACGATTGACTTTGTTTTAGATTGTCGATTCACTCAATGTTCTATTTGATAATCAAGAATGATTCATTTGTTTTTTTCTTCTTTTATTTACTGATATTGTATATACGATCTCTTTCTTCATACGATTTGTTCGTATTTCATTTTTTTTCTTTGACACTATCTGTTTCATATTCTTTTTTTTTTTGGCTACTTTCTATCTTATCTGAATTAAAATATATGACTCATAATATCTAATGTTCTATATTTTAGATTAAAAGGATGATTTCAAAGGATAAATTAACAAGAGATTCATCAGACAGTAAGAAATGAAAGATTTTCATCACATTCATGAGTCTGATTTTCTCGATCATGCATGTCATTCATCGAAAAATTTTAACAACGTTGAATTCTAAGATATAGATTATATAACAAAAATAGGAGATTTCAATTGTATCGATCTTCTCTATAGTTCATTGATCATTAATGTTTCATACAATAAAGATTCGAAGTGACGAAAAGGAAACTGTTTTCGCTTAAGGATCTCCCTTCCTCTCTCAAAAAATCTAACTTCGCCAACGAACATGAGATATTGATGAAACTTTGCATAGATATTGCACTCTTGAAAGTATATTACTAAAAAAATTTCACACCTCTATCTTATCGTTCAGGAGATTTCCAGGCACCAAGCTGTAAAACAGGGCTTTTACGCATAGAAATTTTTTTTTTAATATACTTCAAGCTGCTGAGCTCGGTTTGCTTTCATTTGAAAGAGAACTCCTCCTTACCACCTGGGATAAGCGAAATGTTTTTTTTATTTTACTCTGTTTCATTTTTTGATCATCGAAACCTCAAAAATCTGAAATTTTTCGAGCTGCTTTTCTGGAAGACTCCGGGTTTCTCTAGCATCGATGATTAATTAGAAAATTCCTTTCCGCCATCTGAAGAATTACCCATATATTTATCGATAAAAAAATTCAGCTCGCTAGAATGAAGTGTGTTGAGAAGGGTGGGGGTGTGGTGTGTGAGAGAATGGGCGTCAATGTTTGATATGGATATGGGTGCAGCTTTTAGTGTGAGTGCCGACCAGTGTCAGATCATTTCAAATATCACCATCGAAATCAAGACGAGAAATTACATGATCCTAGGTCGATTGGCTGAAATAGGAGTGTCTGGAAAACCTTTATAACTTTTGAACGGAACAAGCTAGTAATGTCGACTTTGCGTTGATCGAAAGAGAACAATATTTCCTATCTAATAATCGCATTAACGACCAAGGATTGCTGAAGAAACGACTCCAAAATATCGTTGTTTTTTGCATATTCACCAACAATTAATCTGATTGGTCCATTGCAGATCAATCAAGTTTTAGCAAATGTGTATGTTCCTGTGTCTTCTCTTTGCTGCAACAACGAAAATCGAAGCTCCGTATTTTGTTCCTATCAAAAGCTATTGAAAAAGAAAGCGATGACCTAGTATTTTGGCACGGATAGTAGTTTCAAAGATCTTTCATAAAACCTCTGAAAGTCTTCGAAAATCAAAACTATTTTTATGAATTCGTACACTAGACAATTCAAGCTACATGCCCACATACTTATTTCAAAAATGATATTTTTGACGAAAGTCGAGTTTTCTGAGGGATCCCTAAAATACTAACGAATACAAGGTCAAAATAACAAGAAATAAAAACCTCAACAATGATTTTTTTCCTTCCGCAGAATGTAGTCCTAATAGTCAATCATACAGTAACCTAAAATCATTCAGTTGAATAGAATATGATTCAACCGAAAACCGTAAGAATGAATGCATATCGAGCGAGGGAAAAACAGTTAACTTCACGTTCGAAGCCTTCGCTGTTTTTTCTTCGATACTGAGATACAAGATTGCAAATTTACTATGAATTGAATTCTGCTAATCATGATTGATTCTATTGTCAATTTAGCATCGCGTACTTCACTTCATTTCGGACAACTTGTGTGGGCGAAATTGGGATCAGCTCCATTTTGGCCTGCTGTTATATTTACTGAAGAAAATCAAGATTGGATTTGCCATAAAGGTAAAAAATCTAGAAAATCAGAGCAAAAGTTTTATTGTATTTTTTTCTTGAAATAAATTACTTTTTTAGGAAAATCTGCTTATGTACATGTTTTCTTCTTTGGTGAAACTGCTGAACGAAATTGGATTCGAACAACACGTGTTTTACCATTTATTGGACCAGAAAAACTTACTAAACAACGAAGAAAATGGCGTCGTAAAGTAAAAACTACATTCAAAGAAAACAATAATTTCTTTTTCATTTAGATGAAAACTAAATCACAAGAAGAACAAAGATTAACATTAAAAGACAGATCAAATTTAAATATTGCTATTAAACAAACTGTTAAATTATCAAAAGTTTCCTTACAAAAACGTATTACCATTCTTAAAAATGAATGGTGGTATTGGGATGATATTAATCAACCTGAATCAATTAGTGAAGTATCTACAAAAGAAATTGATATTGAAGAAGATGAACATGAACCAATACTAATTGACGATCAAGAAAACGATACTGAAGAAATTTTACAATTATTGAATACGAATCCAGATGAACTGGTACATAGTATAAAAAAGTATTCCTATTCAAGATAAAAATATTGTTTGTATTTTGATTATAGGATGATATAATTTGTTTATCAGATACGTCTACAGAGAATAATGAAACACAATCATCTTTAAAACATACGTCATCTGTTTGTTTTCATCCATTAACACCATATGAAGAAGAAACAATAATTCGTGAAATGATTTCTTCATTAGATAATTCATTTTTAGCATGTCGTTGTCTTGCTGAAAAAGAATATTTATTTTGTATTCAAAAAAATTTTCCATCAACATCAATTATTTCAGAACATTGGTTCTATCTTTTTCTTTTTCGTCATTGTGAACGATTGGCTCGGATGTTTCCGAAATGGATTAATGATATGAAACTTTTATTAGAACAATCTCCATTTCTTTCACCAATACATCAAACACAAATACAATCACTTATTATTTTGTTTAAACAATACTGTAATAATTATCAACAACAGTAATTGTTTCTTCTAAAGAGAGCAGTAATGTATAGAAACATTTCTAGATCTTTTCTTTTTTTTTTGTAAGATACAGTTAATTTTTTTCATATTTCAATTTCTTTTGCTTTTGTGTGAGAAGTTATATGTATGAAATATAGATTTTCTAGAAAAAATAACAAAATGTCGAATATTTGAACAAGGAAATCAACGAAAAAGCTAAAACTATTCTTTTGAACTCGAAAAATTTCTAGTAAGAAAAAACAGAGCTGATACAATCGATGTTAAAAAGAGCAGAATGTGACGAAATAGATCAGACGGTGAATACGTCAACAGTAGAGAGCTGCATCTCCATGGCAACCGGGTCCGGGTCTAGACCAGGTGATTTTTTTCATGGGGGTGAAAATTTGAAAAATGATCACGTAATATTTGAATCAACTATCTGAAATAGCTGGAATGGGGTGAATGTGTTAAATATTACGTGATCTTTTTCAAATTTTCACCCCCATGAAAAAAAAACACCGGGTCCGGGTATAGACTCGGCCGGGTCCGATTTGCAGCTCTCTAGTCAGCAGATATCAAAGTCGGTATTATGATATTGTAAAACTTTGATTACAGAAATAAATCAGATTCATTGTGATATATTCCGAAACTTCCATAATTTCCTTGCTAAGGTCTAAAATATTGAGTCTTCAAGTAAATGGAAACAGTCAACCTTGTCTTTAGGCAAATGGGGTACTCATTGAGAATTTCAATTAAAACTTTTTAATAGTTAATTTCATACTAACGGAAAAACATATCTAACTGTCGGATATCATTTGATTTCATATAGTAGATACGAATAGGTTTTAGTGAGACCGAGAATAGTTTAAAAAGGATTCGTGTTCAGGACCTACTGATGAAGAGTTATGGCACTTTCAATGAAATTGTTACTAAAAGCAAGCATTTCTCGTAAAATTAAAAGCGAAGAGTTTTGAGGTAAAATTTTGTCTATAGGTACAATTGATAGTCACTAGATATTTCTGAAAATTTTAGCGAAAATGAACATATCTTTTTCAAAGTATTTAATTTTCAAAAATAAAACAGAACTTTACCACTGGAGGACATAGTAATCGAGTCTATTAGGAAAATGAATATTTTGAGCAAGACAAGTTCGTTTATGTTGACACTTTCAACACTATCTAGTGCCCATGGACGAAATTTCAGGTCAAAACTTTTTGTGTTGCAGCTATTGAAAATGCCTTGTACTCTGTAAAAGTTTTATTACAAAGATCATACTTCTGTATCAGTAGGTTCTAGGCTCGAATCACTTGAAACTATTCTTAGTATCATCGAAACCTATTAATAGCTATAATATGAAGTCGAATGGTGTCTGACAGTTGAACTTGTTCTTTGGTTAGATCTATACCATTTTCGACATACAAATGCATTGGCTTTCACCGAAAATGAAATAAATTTAACCATTTTTTCGAGAAATATGTTTCTCTGTAATCTTTAGTAATAGTGCCCATGAATGATAAAAAAAAACAAATAATCGATTTAAAATCAAGTCGAACACTTGTCTGATAACATCACTGCTGATAGTAATTTAGTAGATGTTCAGGGGCTAAAACAGTTATAAATATCTCAAGAGTAGTAATTCATCAAGAGTTTTATAAGATCATCGTTCAACTTTACTGTATCAATCTGAGTATAACGGAAGAGGTTCAAAATGAAAAAATGTACAACTAAGCATCAAGCACGAAGAATATTTTTTTTATTGTGAACTTTTATTAAAATCACCAATGAAAAAAGTTGATTGGAAGCCACTACACGATTTCATACACGCTAAACATATTCTCCAAGCAGCTGAGGAGACAAGGATGGATATCACCTTTATGTTTGATTATTCAACATTAGTATCATATTAGTAAGTTGCTGAGTACTTGGATTACTTGAATATTGATAAACGTTAATAATGAATTGTTTCTTTAAATTTTCGAATTTTTTTTAACTATTAATCAAAATAAATGATCAGATGATGGATTTTTGTGAAATAACAGTTTCAGAACCTTGGCAAATGTTTATAGAAATAATTTTCTGTATTTCGATTAAATGTCTAACAAATAAGAAGAAAGATAAATTCGAAAAAAATAAGATAAAAACTCAAACCTCACAATTTTGAATCAGAGGTGAGCACAAAGGAACCTTTTATGTCTCGTGCTGCAATTGATATCTGACCTGATGAACAACAGGAAACAAAAGTTTTTATTTTTGATACAGTGAAGCATATATTTAACTTTTCAGTCATTTTATAAACAATTTATTTCATAACTTTTTTTCAAGCATTACAATTCTATTCTGGAATAACAACTAACTCAATCAATATAAAACATTATCATTTTAATAACATACGTATATGTTCATAGAAAAAAAGCATATAAAACCAGTAGCGAAAGTACAGTGTTCCATCGTCATTGCTATATTTACACAGTACATGATATCAACAATAAAAAGAATAACAGCACAATGAGAGGATTTTTCAATATAACATGAGGGCTGTTAATGAAAAAGATGTAATGAACAAAACAACCAATAAAAGAGAACTCTTTAAAAAGTTTTTTATACTTCTGCATGCATCATACTAATAAAATATTAATTGATTGTTCAGCCTTTAGATGAGTTCATCTTTTTTGAATAACTAGTCACGCTGCTGAAAATTGTCTTTCAGCACTTACAGAAGTAACTGGCATTGAAGAAACTGAGCGAGCAAAGCAGAATTAACGAAGAGATATTTTTCTGCTGAATCCTTCAAAAAAATGAACGGGTTTGATGATAATTAACATTTCGCAAGTTCTTCTTTTTTCTTAACATCAAAAAAATATTCATCACTTTCGTTACTCAATCCCTTCCAATTTCTTTTTGAGCATCAAAATCATCTGACTTGAGTCGACGAAACCATTCATCTGTTTGTCGTTCATTTAATTCTATTAGTTCGATTGCAATCCGTTGTATTTGTTGTTGAACATAAGTATAACAGTTAGAATGTTCAGTTGCAGAAAAAAACCAGTATTATATTGATTTTAACGTAGTATTATTCATTTAAACTTGCCAATTTATTACAAAATATAGAAACAAATAGAAGAAAAGGCTCTTGAGGACATGCAAATCAAGCAGAATGAAAAGAAAGAAAATGTAATTTTTCTTTTTTTTTCCCAGTATTCATTTGTTTACACATTACACCTTTACATTGACGTCACTCACTGCGTATATGTATATGAATGAAGAAAAAAGATGGCAACAATAATCAAAGCATAGTGGCAGAGTTTATTAATGCGTCTTCCATGTATTTTTTTTTGTTAATGTCTCTTGTTCTTAACATTTGTACTTCCAAAAAAAACAATATCCAATATAATCATATAGTCGCTTGTCATGGTTCAGGAGGACACTGACATCCGAACAGTCGCACCCATATTCTGATCGAAATGGACCGAAGACGATATGTTGAACATTAATTCATCGCTCTGGACGAGTTTTAAGCCGAAGATCGATGCAGACACTTAGCTTCAAACAATTCTTGAACAATTGATCGATCATACCCTGTGTGAGCAACAAGCAGATCTTCGAAGGTGAATATCTCTAGAGAGACGAATCTATAGAATAGTAAATGGCCTTTTGCTTTCCACAGTCAATTAAGACAATTCGATTCAAAATACTCAGCATTTTCCTGCTGTTTCATCAATTTTATCTTGATATGTTATGTTTGAAAATCATTATCAGAATAGCTACTCAAAATTGTCAGACAACGTTCTAACAAACAACAAAAAGCAACATTTACTCCACTCCTCATTAGGGTAGTTGTTATGATTTTGTGCATTATTTTCATGTTTGTCTGAAGACAGTTACCAGTAATAATCATCTGTCATAGAATTTAAAAAAATCAAATTCCATCGATTGGTTTTTCTGAGTGACAAAGTTCTTATGCGATCGACAGAACGCGTCATGACCATGAAGAAATCCGACGCTAAACAAGGTATTGCTAGCATTTCTTACATATGAGATAAAAAAGACTATTGTTTCGCTTAGTCCTGGAAAAGAAATATCAATATGCCAGTGTAATACGCTTGTGTATGGAAATATCAGTGTATATTTTCTCGCCGTGACAATACGAAACATAAAGGAAGACAAAAAAAAAGAAGAACAAGGAAAAAATGAAATACAAGTAATAGTGAGCGCATTCATGAGAAATAAATTGCCTATCTGATGAAAATATTATGCTTCACTGATTTACGTAAAAATACGCATGTTGAAAAATAACAGATAGTTTCGTTAACGCTTTATACGAAGCAAGATCGATTGGAAGCAAAAAAAAACAAATAAAACTCGCACTCTCCAATATCATTTACTACGTAAGTATATTTGATTTTCCACATTATGAGACTAGCTATAAAATAAAAATTGAATGTCAGGAGTAGTTATAAACAATAAGAAACGACAGAATTTGAAAACGAGTCATTTTTATTATCAGAAAGTAATCTTAAAAGAGCTCTAATTGAGTATGTTCAGCATATGCAATCGATAGCCTTGATTGCAGTAGTTCTTAAACGTAAAATAGCCATACCACAAACGATGTCAAACAGGATGACTTTCACAATGCTTAAATTTCACCAAGAATTATAGTAGTAGATGACACGAATTTTACTCTTAGAAAGCTGACACAGCAGTGAATTCAAGAATTTCAAGTAGAAGCGTTTTTAATAATGTCGAAGCACTAAGAAAAATATTTGAATTTCACCGAACTCAATCAAAACCTAAAATTTGAACATCAAATCAAAGGTCTTTGCGTACAGAACTAAAGAATCTTCACGATTTTTCAAATACAAGACAGAGTGGATACTTTCCACAAAAGACAGCCTATTCATTCTTCTATATGAGCAGCGGCCAAAGTATGAAATGAACGGAAAAATTTTATTCATTGACATATTCGTCTTTCTAGAAAAGAATCTCTTGGAAGTTAGCATGAGTAAAAAAAAGGTCTCATGAAAAAAAAAACATTTATGTCGATGATGTCGGGCTGATTTAACCTTGTTTATGATTCGTAGCTGTATTGAGAATTAATTGCGATTGTAATATGAACGTCATCAGATAGTTTGGGTTTCTTTTTAGGCGAAGCTTTAAGGAATTATCTGATGTTCTAACATCATTACGTGTATGATATTTTGGGAGGGAATATTTTTAAGTTTTATTGTCAGTTTTGAGCTTTGTATTATTTTCAAATCGATCTGTACAACGCCACAATATTTACCGATTGTCTCGTAATGGATACGGCAGAAAGAATGGCAACATCAATATTTTCAGTAGAACTCTTTCAGTTTATTTGTTTTTAAGCAAGACTTATTTTTGAACGACCTACCATACAATTCTATAGTAAAAGTGTATCGAAAGCTTTTCTGAAGGAAGCAGAAGGCAGAATCTCAACTAACATATTAGCAAATGCCAAGACGAACCAACATTGCAGGTCGTTTCAAAAATAAACTTCAGAATATTTTTTACAACAGTAGATTATGGATCTTGTTGTGTGCTTTCTCTTCATGTACACCTACATCGACTCCCACACCCTATCCAACGCAACGATACTTCAGCTATTGTGGGGATAAAAATCAAAGAAAATTTGACAAGAATAACAAAAAGATAAACGATGTTGTAGGAATTTTACTACCTTGTTTGTTGTTTACACCTATATTTTTAATTTAGACTAGGTGAACTTTATCATTGAGTGTCAAAAAACGAAACAGACCCAGGCTTGGCATCGCAAAAAGATCTAGAAAAGACAGAAGGCATTGACTCTATAAATATAAAAAGTGATCTATCTTGACGATAAACAATTATTTATCAATTCCAGATTAACGATAAAGCAATAATTCGTAGCTGATATGGGTGAAAAACATTCCAAACTGAAAATTTTTGCATCAAAAAAGAATAGTGTTGTAACTTCATCAACATCATCGCTTGCTATCCGACAAAGACGACGCATGTCTCAAAATTATTTAGTCATTTGGGTTGATGGCAGTGTTGATCAACCGAATCAAGATAATCAACATACACTCGAGCAATTGCGCAGTGTCGTTAAAGAGATTAAACTGTGCACGACGTCGACACAATGCATTGAATTTCTTAAGAATATGAATGGCAAGAAAGCTCTCGTCATCTCTTCCGGTGCTTTAGGTCAACATCTTGTGCTACAGATTCATGATATGCCACATGTAGATGCTATTTACATTTTCTGTGGCGACGAATCACGACACAAATCATGGGTCAAAAAATGGTCAAAGATTCAAGGTGTCTTCACTTCAATAGCACCAATATGTGATTCATTAAGAAAGATCACCGGCCAATGCAATCACAATGTATTACTAATGAGTGTCGCTCCGCAGCGCGTTATATCAACAGCATTATCACCATCCGATGAACAAAATCTTGAACAATCAGAGTCATCATTTACATAGAGCCCTCGGCACATTAGAAGAGCCCTCGCCCTCTTTAATAGAGAAAACACCTTGAATAAACGATGAAAAGGATAGATTAGAAGGCGTCACTCTAATACTGTAATTTTTTAGTTTTACCATCATGTTTATACTTTTTGTTTCTATATGTATATTTTTAATCTTCGCTTCATAACTATTTTTATGCTTTTGCCAACGTTTAAGGTGGTCTGTGCTTGAATAATATAAAATTTAATTAATGGACGAATGTATATACAGAGTGTCTCAAAAGTCATTTTTGGGATAAGGTTTTCATTCATCTTTACTATTTCATTTGATATTGTCAACTATTCTTTTTTAAATGATAGACAAATACACCAAGTTTGTATTTATAGGAACAAGCTTCAAAAGTACTATTCAAAGATATCATCTTTAATTGAAATACAAAAATTTACCCTTTTTTTCTATTTCTAAAAAACATTATGCAACGTTTCTTTCTTAAGTGCTTTCATTTTTTGACGTATTTTGATCATTAAGTCGTTCAGATCTTTTATACTATTTTTATAGATATTTATCTTGATATGACTCCATAATGATCCTTTTGCTACTATGGAAGTTGTAATGAACTCATCAAAAATTAATGTTTGGTATGAAATGTCCAACACGTTAATCGTTGGACCATTGTTTTTGAAGAATCGGCAATCGATCGACAAAATTATTTTGATATCTCAAGAACTTCTTTTATCTATTTTTACATTTTTACAGACTAAACGAGTTATTATTAAGATCATATTTCAACAGAATCAGACGCCAGCCCATTTCTCGAAGACAGTTCGCTCCTGGCTGAATGACAAGTTTGATGGTTAGTGGCTGGCAAAGGTGGACTAATCTCGTAGGCTCTACGATCACCGGATTCGACGCCGTTAGATTTCTTTTTATGGGGTCATATCAAGACAAGTATCTATTAAACTAATATGAAAGATCTCAACGATTTAAAGTTGAAAATACGTCAAGAAATCGAAGCACTTACGAAAGAAACGTTGCATAATGTTTTTTGGCAATAGGAAAAAGGTTAAATTTTTGTATTTCAATTAAAGGTGATACCTTTGAACAGTACTTTTGAAGTTTGCTCGTATAAATAAAAACTTAGTATATTTGTCTATCATTTAAAAAAAAGTTGATAATATCAAATGAGATAGTAATGAGAAACGAAAAGAATATTCTCAAGGAAGTTTTGGGACACCCTGTAGAATATGAAAGATAATATCTACTCTGATCAAATTCAGTTATTTTTCATTGACATTCTTCTCTTCTCATCAATACTCAACTATATGATTGTTTCCATAACTAAATAAACATAGAACATCTCTTATGAATGGCGGTCTAAGCTCACATTCTTACCTATTGCCATTAAAAAGTGATTATGATCACATTGGTCAAGAATCTGATTCAGAAAGAGTTGAACCAATTACAAGTTCAATAATGAAAGCTCAATACAAACTGCTGATCTTGAAGACCATGCCGAAAAATCAAAAACCTAATTTTTTTTTTTGATCATATGACATGTCAGCATTTTACGAGTCTTTGTAAACGATAAGATATATAAGAGGACTCGAGGTTTTCTAACGTGTCGATGGCTTTGCTCAGTATTATTGAAAGAAATTCTATTGAAAATTGATGAATACGATGCAAATTCCATAAAAAAGCTAGTGGCTTATTGGCGCGAGCCAAATATCTCTGAGTTCCAATTAGAGGATTTTCAGCATGAATATCACTAAAGGCCCCCATCTGGGGATATATTCTTCCAATTTTTCTTCACAATATACTTAAGAAGACTTTGCGCTCACTCCATATGAAAGCCATGGTCAAAATGGGTCTTTTCGTCTGCAATCTCCACCAACAGCTAGAGCAATTGAAGAAAGAGCAATCAAGTACGTATACAAAACAGTTTGTCATTTATCGTGGTCAGAGGCTCATAAACAGAACTTGTAACATCTCGAGACAAAAGTTGGAATCTTGTTGTTCAACAATTTCTTATCTGCTGATAAGAAGTCGTTCATAAATGGTGTCACTCTTTCAAGGTATTTGGCAACAAGTCAATTTTGAATATTACTTTCAATTTTGTTTTTCAAACAATCAACTTCATCCACGACGGTCTTGCCATACAGACAAGATTCTAAGGACCCGAGATTCATAATAATACGAAATACTGACCTTTTCCTAGAGTGAACGATTGGCAGTGGTGTGATTAATCAACACCATCGTGAAAGATTGAAAATAGAAATAGAAAGATCAATAACGAGGATATATCAAGTTGAGAATGAAAGAAAAATAGAATAGAAGTGGAAGAATTGAACTAGGTATCGTCGTTAACATTTAAGTTCAGTTTTTCTGATTGAGAAAAACTGTTTTTTCTACAGTACAGTAATACATTAAAACGAACTAACTCAAAGAAAACGATATTATGGCTAACTTTTCTCACGAAGTTTATTACTGCAAAAAGCTAAGCAAGTATCCGGATCGGTAAATTAACTCAGCATATTTCGAGTTCACTAAATGGGCATAGACTACTTCTTAAAATGTATTTAAAATCTTTGATTGAAATAAAAACTACGACAAAATTGTAAAAAAATTATTTCAATTGTTTACACTAGAAACTTGTAATCTCCCAATTCCTACTTTGACGGTGTAGGGTGCGAGCTTTTTCTTGAGTCAAAAACCACACCCTCACCTTTTTTCTGTTTAGTTTGGGTGAGTTTTGAAATAGTAAGATAATTTTTCTATTTATTTCAGTTTTACATTTTCGTGAGAAAATGGATCGCTTTCTTTAGATAATTTTAATATTTATTTTAATTGTTGAACACACCATAACAGCGAAATTGAGCACATACTTCAATTAAATGAATTTTGTTTTGTTTTGTTTAAGATATCAATGTCAACGTATTACTCACCATTAAGTGTGCGATTGTTTTTTGTTTTTTGTTTTGGAGAAAGAGAATAGAGGAAGGAAAGGAAGATGAGACTAGACAGTGGGTAACTGAGTGTTAGTAGCCTTATTAGAGTAGAGTGAGTGAGTTAACCCCTATAAGGTTCCAGTTAATATGTAGAAGAAGAAGAATACCCTTGCCTTTCGGCTACCTTTCAGTATAGGGTGCTGTCCAAGGACAGTTTCGAAAACCCGATTTTTTTCCTACAACTATTATTAGCTGCAGCTCTGGAGAGAAGGGCAGCCTGACTCAGAGTTCCTCCCACTTAATCACGTAAGCTTCCCATGTATACTGACTAACCACATACTAGCCACAAGGGCTTATGTATGTCACACGTAGTCAGTGTGCTCTCATATGGGTGGTCCGAGACAAACAACGGTTAATAACTTGGCCAAGGTCATTCTATGCCTAATGGCGCTGAGTTTCTAACACACTATCTTCTGGATATGTGTCGAACATCTTAACCATTTAGTCATAGCGGCTTCTAATATGTAGACCTTCTGGGTAGGCCCTAAGAGCTCGACCAAAAACTGTTTTGATGTCCGTGGCACGCGTTCAGGTATTATCAGACTCATATACATATCATGCGTATATGAGTCTGTCCCATATGTGCATGACTGTCGCGTCAATACGGCTTCACCAGGTTTGTTCTTGGTTGCGTGCGCGAATAGTGTAATGATGAAACTCGTTGCTTCCATTCAATAGACATTTCTTTTCCACTCATCGTGTTTTATTTGATGAAAAGGACAAAAAAAATGTAACATCGTCATGAGTCTACTCAAGAGAAAATCGTTGCACCCGATGATTGTTACTATCGACGACATAGAGATTGCCATATCGATCGAAGGACAAACCCCTGGGCCAGTTGAATTGATTTGCACCTTGTCCTTCACCATTTCCACCCAAAATGACAGTACCTTCTGTTGCCCCTTTAGGCCAACGCGTCACTCGATGATTTCCCAACTCTGTCACATAGAGAGTACCCAACGTATCGACGAATAATCCTTCAGGGTACGACAATTGTTTCAGAGAATTTCCATCCCGTTGACCTCCAGCAACGACAGTCCCTTCTTTTGCACCTTTATCCCATTTCATCACACGATGATTTGCGCTATCCGACACGTAGACAGCCTGTTGTTCATCGACAAAAACGTGGGTCGGCCAATCGAGTTTGTTGAAACGAGGACCCCAGCCATTGTCACCAGCCACGACAGTTTCATTCTTGTCTTCTATTTGGAATCGTCTAACTTCATGTTTGTTAGTGTCACAGATATAGAGATTTTTCTGATTATCCATGGCCAGTCCTTGACAATGGATGTTGTCGAGTAGAATTTCTCCTTGAATTGTACCACTACGACGAGACCATCGTAGAACTCGTCGATTTTCGTTATCACAGATAATGAGACTATCTGTCTTTTTGTCAATCAACACATTGTTTGGATTATGCAATTGATCTAATCGATTTCCTTGACCATTGCCGCCAGCTACCACTTGTCCCTTCTTATCACCAATCTTCCATTGGATGATACGGTCATTGCCCCAATCAGCGATGACCATCGTTTGATCATCAACGAAGATATCCCAAGGGTTGTAAAGTTGATCAGTGGCACTCCCTTTTCCATGCCCTCCAGCAACTGTCACTCCATTCTGTGCCCATCGGGCATTGACTGGAATATTGGGAATCACTACAATGAACGAGAAAGACAAGAAATCGTCATCGCCATTGTCGCGGAGACCTCCGTCTTTCGCAGAAAAGAACTGCAATGAGATATTGTTTCTTGAGAAAACTGCGTAAAAAATTCGAGAATTCCCTTCTCTAAAATACGCTAAACAAGAAAAGTTCTTCTCACACATAAAAATTCTGAAATCATTTTTGACTTTCTACTAGAAAAAAGGCTTTGTAAGGACTCTCACATCTATATCGATTCTCAGTCTCAATCCTAATTATTCGTTGAGCACTCCTTGTAACATCTATCCAGATATTGCTTTCAATCCTACTTAACCCGTTTTTGCAGGTAGTTCTTCAAGTTCTTAATTAGATATATTAGATTCTAAAAAGTAGAAGCCTCGGACGGAATAAAAACTGCAGCTTGAGATTTCTATGAGGAGGTTTTTCAGAAGAACCACTTTTGAAATATCGAGAAGACTAATGCTAATTCTATCTAATATCTCGATAAGAAAAGATAGGGATCGAAGAATTCTATTCTTAATCTCGAATGCAGAATCTTTATAGAACTATTAGAAAAGTTACTAGCAAGTTTGAATCCTTGAAAGATTTACATGAACTTCAGACAAGAATTTAAGCGATAAAATAGACGATTCATAAATTGATTGCTTGCTTTCAGAAATACTTCAAGTCAAATTAATGTCAATTAGTTTCTGTCAAACGAAATTCAATGAATTTCACTATTCATATTGAAATATTCGTTCGTAAAATACAACTTGGAGTCTAAAATATGTTATTGTCAATAATTATTTTGGCATGGTTGTTTTAGCTGAGCATCATTTTTCATGAATTTTGCACAAAGTATACGTACTAATATTCGATTGTGTGTGTGTTTACTGATTTTGCAGCTGTTGTAAATGGTGATCCTAAAATACGAGTTAGATAATTCGTAGCTCATTGTTGCATATTATAAGAGGAACGCATTGTCAGATGAAAAGCAGATCGCCTTTATCGATTGCACCATGTGTAATATAAAAAGACTATGCGTCTGCATGATTTAGAAAATACGCGTCGTTTGGGCGGCGCTCGCTTTTGGTCAAGTTTTAGCTGACATTAACAATTTTTATAATTTATCTTTCGTGCAGTCTACACTAATTAAATGTTGCTTTTTTAATGCAAATATACCTTTTGTCAAATTTCCTATCTCTGCAACTGTTCTCACACACGCACGGTCTTTCAATACTACGAGTCACATCACAGAGTGATCAGTAGCTGAGACGAAACAAAACAAAAACGGTAACCTGTACTGCAAAAAGAAAGTTTTGGAAAAATAAGCTCTTAAACGAGGGAAATTAGTTTTCAGTAGGGTATTCTCACGATAGAATGTTCAAATGGGGAATTGGAAAGAAAAATGACTACGGTGGATGAGGTCAATCAGGTTGAACAGCATAAAAATGGTTGCAAGATTAAGAACAGCAATATGATAACATATAGAAAGAAAAATGATCAAAGAGGACGCAAGCTACGTAAGATATGATTTTGAAAAAAGGAGAGAACATTGCTAGCAAATAGATTGAAAAACAGAAGGAAAGTTATTTGGCGACTTATTCGACACGATGAATATGGCTGGAGCTTCTATCGAAAGTTATGAATATTTTCATTTCATTATAGAGGGCAAGACTGTATCATTAGAATTCGCGGGACCCGGTTACTGAAGTATTTCGAGGACTAAATTTAATTTTTTTCTCATTGCAGCCCCGGCGCTTCATTATTTCATCAAAAAACGTGTGTTATTGCATTTTAAACTAGAATGATAAATTGAATTTTTACGCTTTAACTTGAACAAATCGAATATGTTTTAAAATTTAAAACTATTTTTCACATCTCAAAGGATATCTTTCTAATATATACTTTTGACATAGACTCAACGTTTGTCGAACGTGTGTTGCATTGATATTAGCTGTCTCTATCGACAGATAAGTTTTGTTATCATTTGTCAACATCATCATGAAAGCGGGTCTCTTCTTTTCTATGACTTTTATTCATGTTGTCGCGATAAGCAAAGATTAATGATATTAAAAAAATGGATGGTTTTTTTTTCAATCCATTTTCATTGCGTAAGTAAATTAGTGTTTGAATAGTGCTTACTCTATTTTTATCAGGACAGCATCAATATAAATCATGACGCAGAAAAGATCTCCATACGACAATGTCTAAAAATGATAACAACCCATGTGAGTATTTCTTACTGAGAAATTGGAAAAAAGCGAGAATGTAGGATGTGAATGTAGAGAAGATCCACACGCGCAACCACACCAATACTCCCATACCCATCGCTTGATCCTAATGAAACAACTGTTCAAGTCAAGGTTATCAATCATTCTGTGTTACATGAAGATGCAAGCCCGAGCTTTTTTCAATCAGCTGGACAAACCAGTGCTTGTCCCACAACGAATACACTACTCCCCAATCAATCGTGAATGTGTAGCACAGAGTCTTAAGGAAATGGTCTCTTCAGTGAAGCCTTTGAGACCACAGTTTATTCATGAGAGTCTGTCAAAAGCCTTTCCCACTCATATTGATGAAATCAGTAATGCACCCAGGGGAGCGAATTTTGGGGATTGATCCTTCCCTACACAACAAATTTTCGCTATCAGATTTTAAGGTCATTGGTTTTCAAATGTCAGCAAGCATGCTCTGAATATATGCTTGAACTAACATATATACTTATCAATTAGTGTAAAATGTTTCTTTGTGCAGACTGTTTGATAGTAATGATTATTGTGAATTAAATATATTGTGAATCACAAGTATTTCGCTCTAAATTGTGATTCATATATAATAAAAATCTTTATTTTAATAGAAGTATTGCAAATAATGAGGCAAAATCCGAAGGATACTAGTGAGCGCCATCGAACAGGTGATGAACCACTGAATGATTTGGCTGTTATGAACATCAGCAGCTACCGAGACTTAGTTTTTCGGGATTGATTGGAACTTTTCAATAAACTCCTAAGACTTTCAAAATAAATTCCAATACAATTCCTCAATACATACAAAGTGTAGGTTTGGGCGTGTGTATGGGTGTGTATATTGATGATGGTGTGGGTTAGGGTGTGAGGGCGATCAAATATCATCATAGTTAATAAATCTCGTAGAAAATATAAGTCATGGTAGCCTCTCATTAATATTAATAAGAAAAACTCGCTCAGACGCGAAAGTGTCAGTGCAGAAATATCGTGTAATAATATGAGTGAAAGCTGTTTCCCATCATCTTGACTTCTGTAAAGTTCCAACCTTTTTACTGTCACTTTCACATATTGTTGTACGATCGGGTACTTTTTGATCTCATTCTGATACATGGTTGTGTTACGTGATACTTTTGTCTCAACTTTAAGCATTGATATGCGCACAAAAATATTCAGTCACTCTAAAACCTTGTTGGATGGCTGAAGCTTGCCATCGACAGCCATATTTCGCAAATGTAACACTATTAATTTTATGCCTTCTGTAAATAAACTGGAGAGCCAAATGACAAACAATTATCAGTCGCTTCGTTAAAAGAAAAAGTAGTTATTGGTTTCGCTTCCATTGTTGTTTTGATCCTTCCTAATAATTAGATCATATTTGTTCTATGTATATGACTATTAAATGAATCTACTTTACTATTCAAATCATCCTAATAAGTTACTTACCAGAATTCAGTAAATTTTAGCGAGAATAGTGGCGAAAATTTCAACAATGTGTTGTTGTCGCTTTTAGATTATATTATGTATGTGATGCCGTTTATTCTTTTTTTGTCGATTGCTTCGCATGTTACTTTTGGAAGATGTCAACACTTTTCTTATCTTTCTTTTTTCTCTCTCTTATTTTTATTTTATTTGAATATCTTTCAACTACGGACTTTGTTGAGAACGACGAAACTTATCAAAAGTAAAGCATTCAAGGTGAAAAATATACCACGAGCGAATGCAACCAAGGAAAAAATCATTCTCGTGTAAGGAAGTTCATCTAAAATAAAGCAATCGCAGCAATATACATTTCTCTATAATGTATGGTCGTGCATATCATTCAAAGATATACCACGGTTAACAGGATACTACTTCATTCACTATCTATTCGAGGATATAATTATGGATAGTTATCAAAGTACGACTATTGGAGAAAAAAAATTCGTAGTCGACCCAAAAGATCATTGGAAAAATAAACGTAAATATCTCTTACACAATGCAAGCAATTTCCATATATTTTAAAACAAGATAGTAGATTCTATGAAATTTTATTTCTTTGTAATTTGCTTTACAATGTATGTTCAAAATGATAACAGCAAACTGAAACACATAAATCTATCATGTTCGAAACATTAGAAAAACGAAGGTATATTTTGCTCTTTCACTTATTTATTTTTGTTATTGATGCTAGGGTGTGGGTGTGGGTTTTCTCTTCACATCCACATCCAAGTCTCTACCATGAACATCTATAGGTTCAATACTTGTCAAGTTTATTGTTTCTATTTTCTCTTATCAGTGTTTCTTTTCGACGTATGTTGACTATATCTTTTGGAATATTTAAACGAATTTTCAATATTTCAATCGGTATGACTGTTAAGGTTGAAGGGAATGAAAAGTTTTGTGCTTTATTATTGTATTGGTGAAACAGAAGTTTTTCATGTTTCATATGATGAAAGCAATTGAAACTCTTTCACTTCTCAATCTCGTTAAATTTCGCAAGGTAAAGAGTTTCCAGTATATTTTCAATAATTCCCCAGTATACGTAATAAATGTTTCTTTATCTACCACCATACTAGTGCACAATCACTAGATGACTTTTGACAGTTATGTCATTGTTGTACAAATAGCCTGGAATACGTTTCTATATGAAAAATGAAAAT